CCCTCCCTTCTTTCTTTTGTCTTTTTGAGACAGAGTCTCCTTGGCCTGGAACGCACTATGTAAACAATCAGACTGGCCTCGAACTCACAGAGATCCTCCTGCCTCTCTACCTCCCAAGTGCTGAGATTAAAGGCGTGTACCACCGTGCCTGGCAGGACCCTCAACCTTTCTAAAGGGACTGTGCATCAACTGGAGCGGCCACCAGAGGGCAGGGTAGACTTTCTGCAGAAACCCGAGAGTAGGCGCTGAAAACCTGACGTGAGAGTAACAGCTAATTAAATGCAAATTTCACTTACTCACTGAATAAAACCCACCTAGCGCGAGGTCCCTGCTTTCATTCTGTTCTATGAATTCTCTATTGATCAGAACCGACTCCGGGAAGAAGGCAGCAGCCGTTCCAGGAGGATCCCCGGACCCCAGGTTGCAGACTCGGGAGGACCTGGGAGAGGGTGCGCAGGTCGCAGAAGGTGAATGGAGAAGAGCTTTGCAGGGCGCAAGGGAAGGAAGGACTTCCCTCCACCCTCCGAGGGCTCCGCAACCGAGTCTGAAATAATCAGACAGCAGGGAGATGAATGCGAGAGAGGATGTGTGGACCTTGTTAACCTGTACAAGTGCACCGCAGGAAAGCAGACCTCACACCAAAACCCACTAAAGCGCTTACACATCCTCTGAAGGGGGAGGGGAGGGGGAGAGCGGTGCTTGGAGGAAGAGATGATGGCTTAAGACAGAGTTCATCTGAATGTGAAAGACCTCCAGCTTCGACCTGGGATACGAAGTAATCATTCTCCCCGGAAGAAACTCCCAGGGAGGGATTGGTGTGAGCGAATTCCTGTAGGGAGGAGGGATTGGTGTGAGCGAATTCCTGTAGGCAGAAGGGGCGGTCAGAGAAAGCCTCTCGCTGAGTTTGCTGATTCTCATTGATCTTCAGCTCAAAGTATTGAGGTACCAAAGTGCTACCTTTGGGCTGCCATGTCCTGAACCCCTGCAAGGGCTCAGGGCAGGAGCCATTGACCAACCAGGTCGAATCGTACCTTTAGTACCGTGGCTTTGGCGGAGCATCCTGCCAGAGCTCAGCTGGACCAGGCTGGGAGGGGACGAGCCGAGAGGAGGCTGCTCCGAGAAAGATGTGCTCTCAGGAGGCAGATGTCGATGATTTCCAGTAAGTGCGGGAAGGGGAGGAGCCCCGCCCTGCTTATTCTGGGGTCAGTGGAGGCTGAGCTCTAGTTTCACGTTATTTATTTATCATTTCTTTTTATTGTACTAGCAGGTGCAGTTTGGGGCTGGCTCCACCAGGCTTCATCAAAGGGACTAGAGCTAGCAAATTTAGAATATCTTCCTCCTAAGGCTTGACCCAGCGGTTTCCTCTTTACCCTTAATTTCTTCTGTTCTGTTTTGTTTTCCGTTAAACTTAGTTTCACAATTGCACACAGGCCCCAGGAGGCGTGGCCCAATCAAGAGGAGAGGGCGGAACCGGGCTTGCTTTGCCAACACAGCATTTTCGGGCACCGTTTCTTGGTAGAGACTTATTGCCTGTTTACTCCTTTGTCTCCCGGCTATGCTGTCTCTATAATGATCTAGATTCAACACAATTCCCATCGAAATTCCAACAGCGCCCCTCCCCCCACGTCAAGTTCCAATAGTCTTTATCACAAAGATGGAAAAGCTGACCCTCAGATTTATGTAGAATTATAAAGGCCCCTAAAGAGGCAAAACACTCTTGGGAAAGAACCATAAAGTTGGAGGACTCATGCTCCGTCTTTGACGCTTACTTCGCGTCATTAAAACAGCGCGGTACTGACATGTGGACTAACTGCGGGGACTGAAGGAATGGAAGAGAAAGCCCAGAAATAAACTCTCACATGTATAGTTAGTTCTCAGCCAGGATTAAGACCATTTAATGGGGAACGAAGAGTCTTATAGAAATAGTGCTGGGAAAACGGGCTATACCCATGCAGCAAATGAAGGTGGAATCTTAAATTTAGTACACCACATACAAAAATCAACTCAAAATGGGTCAAAGACCTAAACCTGATTCCAAAATATAAAACTCCTAGAATAAAACATCGAGGACAATTTTCGTTGCATTGGACAGCAATTTCATGGAAGTCACACCAACAGCACAGTCCACAAAAGAAAATATGTAGCTATCAAACATTAAGTCTTGTGCTTGATGATGTGTCTGAAAACTCTTGGCCAAGGCTGGGCATGGTCCTGCATATCTGAATGCTGAAACCCAGGAGGCTGAGGCAGGAGGTGGGAGGCCCAGGCTAGCTTGGGCTACATGATGAGATGATATCTCTTTTGCTGTGCTAGAGATGAAGCCCAGGCCTTCATGCTAGGCAAGTGCCTTACCACTGAGCTACCTGCCTCCCCACCTCAGGATATTGCTGCAAGCAAACAAAACAACAAAAACCCCAGGCCAAGACCAATACTGTGGAGCGTGCTGTTTGCTTCTAGAAGATTTATAGTTTTGGGTCTCAAATTTAAGTTTTTAATTCATTCATTCTTAGTTAATTTAATTTTTTAAAATATTTATTATTTTTATGTGTATTCTTGTATTGCATGCATGCACCACCCGTGTCATGCAGTGCCCGCAGAGAACAGAAGTGACTGTTGGATCCCCTGAAACTAGTTACAGACAGTTGTTAGCTACCATATGGATGCTGGAAACTGAACCAAGTCCTCTGCAAGAGTAGCTAGTGCTCCTAACCACTGAACCATCTCTCCAGCCCCCTTAATTTATTTTCTGACAACTTCATCTATCCTTCCTTCTTTCCTTCCTTCCTTCCTTCCTTCCTTCCTTCCTTCCTTCCTTTCTTTCTTTTTTTCTTTCTTTCTTTCTTTCTTTCTTTCTTTCTTTCTTTCTTTCTTTCTTTCTTCTTTCTTTCCTTTTTTCGATACAAGTTCTTGCCATGAAGCTGGCCTCGAGCTCTATGTAGACAAGGCTAGTCTGGAACTCACAGAGATCTGCCTCATGCCTCTACCTCATGAGTGCTTGACCCAAATTCTTCATTATTTTATATTTTAAAGTTGCATTTATTTATTTGTGTGTGTGCATGGGGGGGGCATGCACATGTGTGGGAATACCACATTGCACATGTGGAGGTCAGAGGACAACTTATAGGAGTTCTCTCTCTTTCCTTTATTTGGGTCCAGGGGATGGAACTCAGGTCCTCAGACTTGGCAGCAGGTGCCTTTAGCCCCCAAGCCATCTCACTGGCCCTATAGAACATTTAAAAAAAATTATTTATTTTTATTTAATGTGTATGAGTGTTTTGCTTGCATGTATGTAGTTGTACCCTGTGTGTACAATGCCAGCGGAGGCCAGAAGAGGGTGCTTGACCCCCAGAACTGGAATTACAGATGGTTGTTAGCCAACATGTGGGTGCTGGGAACTGAACCTGGATCCTCTGAAAGAGCAGCCAGTGCTCTTAACTGCTGAGCCAGCTCTCCAGCCTTTAGTTAATTTTGTTGTGTGAATGCTGTAAGTGGTATAAGGGTCAGTTTCATTCTTTGCCATGCAGGCCTCTAAAAAGACTATTCTTTTCTCACTGTATATTCTTTTATGGTAGCTGTTTTTGTTTTTTGAGACAGGGAATCCCTGTAGTCCCAACTGGCCTGGAGCTCTCTATGTAGACCAGGCTGGCCTCCATCTCACAAAGATCCTCCTGCCTCTGCCTCCTGAGCACTGGGATTAAAGGTATGCACCACCATGCCTGACTTCATTGAATATTCTTGATGCCTTGGAGATTAGTTGACTGTTTAGATGGGTTTTTATTTCTGGACTTTCTGTTCAGTTGCGACTGTTCTACATACTTTTATGCAAGTGTCATGTTGCTTTGATTACTGTAGCTTTGTAACGTATCTTGAAATCAAGAAGTGTGAGGCCTCTGTCACTGGCACCCAGAGTTGCAATTCTGCCTTGTTGCCTGTGCAGTCTGAGTTCTTCCTCAGAGACCTCTACTAAGTGTGGCTAAGGTCTCGCCTTAGGTTGCAGAAAAGGATTTCAGGAGGAGGCCATGTGAAGCAATGTTGGGATTTATTTATTAAGGAAAGGATAGTACAGGCCCAAGATGTGAGTGAGTATGGAAAGAGGCAGGCAGAGAGGCTTAAGCATCACAGACACGCACAGATGGTTTTGTGGCTTTTGAAGTTACATTGTTTAAAGGATCTAATCTATATTTAAGCTCAAAGTGTTTTTTATGTTTATGTGTAATGGAAAGGATTCTTCTTTTGTAAATGGGATCATAAGGTTTCTGGGATACATTGTACAGATTTATAGAAAGGAGCGCTCTTGAGATAACATAGGTCAAAAAAAGGGCAAAAGAATCCTTACTATACTTAGATCACAAGGCAACCAAGATATATTTGGACTATAAACATGACTCAACATCTCGTTTGTGAGACTTTCTCAGAAAAAAAAAAATCCAGATTTATAAATGAGAAAGGAGTGCTGATAAGGTTAGACCAGAAATCATGTACATTTTGGCCTTAAGCATGGCTTACTAGTTGCTTAGTTTCAACAAAACTTTAAAAAAATTTATGTATTATTTTTATTTTATGTGTATGTGTATATTGCCTGCATGTAGGTAAGTGCACCTGTATCATGCAATGCCCACAGAGGTCAGAAGAGGCTGTCAGATCCCCTGGGACTGGAGTTAAGGAGAGTTGTTAGATGCCATGTGGGTGCTGGGATTCGAACCCGGGTCTTCTTCAAGAACAACCAGTGTTCTTAACCGCTGAGCCATCTCTTCAGCCCCTAGTTTTAAAAAATATTTTATTCATTATTATTGTATATATGTGTGTATGTGTACATGTATGATGTGTGTGTGTCACAGTGCATGCGTGGAGGTCAGAGATCAATGTTAGAGTCTGTTCCTTCCTCCCACTATGGGATCCAGGGATTGAACTCCAGTCATCATATTTCTGTGGCAAGTGTTGTCACCCTCAAAGCCATCTCTCTGGCCCTCAATAGTTGTTTAGAGATTTTTGTAACATATCTTAGAAAAGAGATTGTTGTCTCTATGGAGACAAACTTCATGGCAGATGTTTCTAGCTGTGTTAATCCTTGATTCTTAACTGGTAAGAAATGCAAATCTTAGGAGCTGAGGGGCTCTTTCCTTCCCATGCTCCTTAACCATCCCATTCTATCCCACTTCCCCTTTATTCTTTAAGATTGCTTTTAACTATTCAGAGCCTTTAAATTTTTTAAATTTATTATTTGTGTATACATATGTGTATGTATGTACATGTGGAGGCCAGAGGCTGACACTGAGTGTCAGGTGTTTTCCTCTATCTCACTCCACCTTATTTTTTTGAGACAGGATCTTTCCTGATTTGGCAAGACTAGCTGGTCAGTGAGCTCCAGGGATCTTGCTGTCTCTGCCTCCCCAGCAGGAGAATTAAGCCACCATGCCATGCATGCCCTTGGGGATCTGAACTTGGGTCCTCATGCTTGTGTGAAAGGCATTTACCAACTGAGCCATCTCCCTAGCCCCTGTTCAGAGTCTTTTTTGGCTCCATATAAACTTTAGGATTTTTTTTTTTTTAACTTCTGTGAAAAATGTCACTAAAATTTTGATAGGGATTGCGTTGAATCTGTAGATCACCTTGGATCATAAGCACAATATTAATTCTTCCAATCTGTGAACACATTTTTACATTTATTTGTGTTTTCTGAAATGTATTATTGCTAATTAATGTGTTTATTATTATATAATTGATGTACTATCTTATACCTCATTGGTCAAATTTATTTCTAATTTTTTTTTGGTGCTATTGCAAAAGGGAGTCCTTTATTAATTTCCCTTTTAGATAGTTTATTGTTTAATATATAGAAATGCAACTGATTTTTAAAGATTTTAATTTTAGTTGTGTGTGTGTGCATGTGAGCGTAGGTACCCTTGAAAGGTAGAGTTACAGGTAGTTGTGAAATACTTGATGTGGGTGCTGGGAACCAAATTCTGATCCTCCGGAAAAGCAATATGCACACTTAACCTCTGAGCCATCTTTCCAGCCCTGAAACTGATTTTTAATATTGAGTTTGTGGACTAGAGTTTTTCTTTATTTATTGAGGAGTTCTAACAGTTTTTGGTGGAATCTCTGGGCTTTTCTACATATAAACTCATAACATTTGCAAACAGATAATAGTTCTTCTAA